GGTTCCCATCTCACATGAACACACATACTACGGCCAATTGAGGCACCAGCCAATGAACCCCCCACCTGTCTCTGGAGAGTGAAGAAACTGGGGACCTGGAGGAAATCCATGCAAACTCAGTGCAGATAAGAGTCCTGGCCTGGGTGCAAACAAGAGGACCCCAGAAGTGCTAACCGCATGGAATCAACAGTTCTGTCACAACCCAAGTGTGGTGTAAATCAGGGGTCTTCAAACTGCGGCCTGAGGGTCACATCTGGCTCTCTGTGATACTATCCAACCCGGGGTTAGTGGCTTATCACCAGACTCAGTGCACAGACGGAGGATTCAGATCAGCTGTTCTCTGCCTCCGAAGGGGGCCCCTGATATGTCAGGGGGGACTCCGAAGGGGGCTCCGAGTCAGGGGGGACCCCGATGTAAGGGGGGACTCTCGAAGGGGACCCTGATATGTCAGGGGGGACTCCGAGGGGACCCCGATATGTAAGGGGGGACTCCGAGGGGGACCCCGATGTAAGGGGGGACTCTCCTGGGGACCCTGATGTCAGGGGGGACTCCTGAAGGGACCCCGATGTCAGGGGGGACTCCGAAGGGGACCCCGATGTCAGGGGGGACTCCACTGGGGACCCGATGTAAGGGAGGACTCCACTGGGGACCCTGATTTAAGCAGCAGCTAAGAGAGACCCTGATGTAAGGCAGCCTTTAATATGTAAGAAGGCTCTGAATTGATAGGGGGGCTTCTGAAAGAAAGTTAATTCATGGACCGTGTTTATTCATTAACATTTTATTCCTTCATTTATAAAACTTTTTTTGTCCCGCGAAATATTTGTAAAATATACAACTTGGCCCTCGTACTGAAAAGTTTGGAGACCCCCTGGTGTAAATGTATGAATAGCTCCATTATAACTACATCTGGGGAGCTCACACAGTGGGGGTTCAGGAAACCTATAATGAGAGAAACGAGGGGCTCTAATGCCTGGCTGTCATGCCAACACTCCTACTTCAATACCTCCAGTCATTTATCATGGAGCAAAAATGCAGGTAAGGACTTGTGACTTTTTTTTTTTAAATCCTAACAGGTTTACTTTAACATGGAAGTAAAGTCTTCCAGCCTTCCTGCTCATTGTCTTCTTTTCTGTGTACAGTGAGCTGTGCGTGTTCAGCTCCATTCACACTCCCGGTATCTGACAGAGGCCAGAATAAATGAGCTCCAGTGCACAAGTGCAGAAGTTACTTCATCCCAGTGCAAAGGTGATGAACCCAGAAGGCAGTAAACGTTTGGACCTCCATGGCAAGTATGGAGGCAAGTATTGTTCTGTAGCGATATGAATGAGGCCTCACCCCGCAATCCCACATTCTAACATACTCCACTAACCTACACACACAGCTGAGGGACAACACTGAAGAAGTAAAAACCGGAGACAAGATACCGATCCTCACCTGCATGTGATCCCCCGCCAGGACAATACGAGTGCTTTTGGTGGCAAGAGCCAAAGGCATGATGGTTTCACACTCCATTGCTTGTGCTGCTTCATCTAAAAGGATGTGTGTAAAAAAACCTGAAACAGAAAAACAAAAATTGTATACAAGTGGCCTTCATGTAGTCACCTATCCAGAACCTTATCAGGCCTAATTTAACACAGAATTGTACCCATAACGACGGCCGTCTGAAGCCCAGAGCCCCCTGAGCAGCAGTAAATCTTTAGGCTGTAAGCAGATTGGCCCTTACGTTTCTGGCACAGAGAGCAACTGAGCATGTGCAGAGCAGGGTAAGACATTGTATTACTGGATCTTAAACCGTATAGGCACTTATTTTTAATGTGTTACAAAGCTATACCTGCAAAAGCCTGAAGTCATCTAGTCCATACATAATAAATCTTCCCTGTAGGCACAGCGAACATCTCCTAAACTTGCATTGTTTAGGAGATATTCACGTAACATGCAGCCGGTAACGTCACTGGCACATGCGCACTGAAGGGACAGCCGGACCTACAAAGCGCTATGTCGTACCCGACAGCTCCCGCACGCATGCTGTGATGTCATCGAGGCCCTGGCCGTTCATATGACCGGAGCCTGTGAGCCTGGGAGCCAGACCGGGTGAAGATGGCAGCTCCGGGGAGCCGTGTCAGCGCTGCGCTGCGCTGGAGGGCTCCGTGTAAGGATAGGTCTGTTATAATGTGTGCGGTGCATACTAGTACATTATGACCTGAACCTGCAGGGGGAGCCCTTTGTTTTGTCTGTTTGTTTTGTTTTTTTGACTTGCGGTTTGCTACCGCTTTAATGTTCTGACCAAAGCTCCACTTTGTGTGTTTGGGCAGAAAAAAAAAAAAAAAAGCACAGTTCATGTTTGCAATGCAAACACATTCAACTATATTTTGTCTCTATGAAAATGTGGCAAGCTTTATTTGCCGCCACTGGATAGGCTGAATCACTGTCTATTGTATATCCCTCTATGGAGTGAACCGAAACGTGCAGGCTTTGTATGTGTATATCTATGTATCTGCTCCGGAGCAGTTTGTTTCTTGTTACAAGTATTTTCAATAAAGCTCCCAAGATTAAAAGATAAAAAAAAAAGTAGCAAGTACAAAAATACCTGTTGGCCTGCCAGAAATCCAGTGAGCTCCTTACTTCCTGTAGTAATCAGACAACACTACCTCTGCTGACTGAAATCACATAGTGTTGTCAGCCCTGCCAAGTTCCTCCCTAATGGACTACAGAACATCTCCACCTTATGTTATGGACATGAAGAGAAGGGTAGGGGCCCAACTTCAGAGGTCACCGACACTATCCATAAGCAATCCCCCTTCACTGTGTATGTGGCAGCCAATCAGAATCCTGCGTGCTTTGAGGCCACCATAACTCACCAGGCTCCAGATCCAGCTGGCACAGGTACTGGGAGGTGCTGAGTGTCACCACCACCACCCTGTGCCGGATGATGTCTTCCTTCTGTGGCATCTGGAAGGTGGAATGTGTACTGGAGATGAGACAGTACTGATGGACCACCGGGTGCACCGTCTTCACCCAGCGATTTCTGAAATATACCCTGGTGGAGAAAAAGAAAAAGGGTCATCAGCAGGTTCCCCCTGGTACTTGTTACCGTCAGAACTCCGACATAGAACACATTGCCTTACCTGAGCGGCCTAGCCTGGGGATTCCCTGTTTTCACGTATGGGTGGAGATAGTCCTTGATGTAGAGGTCAGCAGCACTATTAGAATGGGTGCAAATTAGAACCCTGGAGAGGAAAACACAAAATTCTCAGAATTAGTTTTACTTAAAGTAGAATTCCAGCCCAAACCTGTCATTAAGAGGTCATTAAAAGGGAGCTGGCAGTGCTGACGTCCTGCTGGAAAGGTTCATTTCCTGGCTGTCTGTGTGACACCAATACAAGAAAAGGAAGGGGGGGGGGGGGGTGTACAGGAGAGCGGGGACAGCAAATTTTCAACAGTTCCTGAGTTTCATAAAGCTACTAAAAATGTATATTGTAGGGATTTCCTATAACTTCCTGATGGAAATGTATATTCCATGCACCATGACGGGGGGTGAGCAGCTGAGGAATCAAAGCGTCTCCACTATGCCACACTATAGACCACATGCAGCCTGTACAGCCAGAACCTGCAGCCCCCATGTGGCAGCAAAAACCAGTCCTGCACCAAGGACTTCAACAATTGCATCAAATAAAAAAACACAACTTTCATTTTAACATAAAAAAGCCGAAACAAAGCAGAAAATATCTGAAAACAACGGCGACGTCATCATCCCACATTAACAAGTGCTTGTTGGCTTGGAATAGAGCGAGTGTGAGCTCCAAACTGCCAACATCTGCGTGTTGCTGCTTCTCTGCTGGGAAACAAAACATTTTTAAGTTGAAGCATTTGTGGAGTCCTTGGAGTGGGACAACTTTTGCTGCAATATGTCCTGGATGACCCTGTACATGCCGCTGAGATGGCGACCCTTCAAAGGGCACTGCGCGATGGGAGTATATGTGTGACTCGGCAATAACTTGTAATCCTCATAGCACCCTTCATACTGGATCCTTCACACTGCCCCCACCAACACTGCCCCCACCAACACTGCACCCATCAACACTGCACCCATCAACACTGCACCCATCAATACTGCACCCATCAATACTGCACCCCCTTCACACTGCACCCCCTTCACACTGCATCCACCAACACTGCACCCCCTTCACACTGCATCCACCAACACTGCACCCCCTTCACCCCCTTCACTGCACCCATCAATACTGCACCCTTCACACCGCATCTATCAATACTGTACCCTTCATACATCAATACTGTACCCTTCACACCTCATCCATCAATACTACACCCTTCATACCACAGCCCTCGATACTACATGCATCAATTTCAGAATCTACAAACTCTAAACAATTACTATTAGCTGAGTTTTGAAGCTCTGTACTGTACCTGTAAGAATCATCTCTGTGTCAGGCTGCTGCACATTGTCCCTGCTTTTACATTAAAGAACCCTCATTTTTCCCATACACAAGGGTTGGTCCTTGCGTCATATGTGGTGTCACTATGATCTCTATCTCGTAACAATCTTCAGTACTACACTTTATATTAGTGGTAGTCAACTTATGAGCTAAGGGAGGCTTCAAATGTGGCCCCTGACATCATAGGGCCACACAATGTTCAATGTAATACTTCAGAGAGGGTTTGTCAGAGACTGCAGACTAATAGAGGAAATGAGGGTCAGAGAGTGAGGACAGGACACATTGTTGGCTGGGGATCTGCTGAAGAAGACGATAGGCAGCCGGGAAGATGTGACATGCGGCTGGTAGAGATCAATATCATTACCCTAATCAATGTTCCTGCAACAGACTGCTGATGTCTGAGGGCCACACATCATATACTAAAGGGCCACAGGTTGGGCACCAGGGCTTTATACATTTATTGGAGGTCAGTGTATCCCTCCTCCCCGGATTCTCTTACCTGGTCTCCTGCTGCTTGAGAATGTGCTTCACAGCCTGAGCCAGGGTGAAGGTCTTGCCTGTTCCATAGGGGCCGATGATTAAAATGGGTGGCAGTTGTATAGACAGGGGTGTAGTGATGGCCAAAATGGCTTCCTTCTGCTTTGCGTTCAGCCTTGGATCTAACAGTTCGTCCCATTGCCTGTGAGGGGGCCAGAGAAAAAGCAACAGTATGAAATGATCCATTATAGAGACGACACATCTCCGGGCGGCTCTGATTCCTGCTTCGTGGTATGTGCGTCACTAGGTCTCGGTATACAGCCGGCCATACACCCAGCAACTTTCAGTCATTTGACAAAAATAGAAGCGGATGACTCTGTTATCTCTAGAACTCCCCTTTAAATCTGCCATGACTGCTGAATACAGAGCTGTAACAATGAGAAGGCGGGACTGTGACCCAGGTCAGCGGGGGCGGGGCCAAAGAACAAACACCAGGACCAGATCCATCTCTCTTTATCACTTAATTTGAATATTCTATAACAAGTACCGACCTCATTAGATGCAACCAGTTATAACTTTGACCTGGATTTCTTGAGATCTGACCCCCCCCCCATGCTATGTGCCTCTGTATAAAGTGTCTGCTTCTCAGGAGCAATACACAGAAAATTATACTCCGTATGCAGCACCATCCCATGCCGCATTAAGGGCTTGTTCACATGAGAGCTTCTCATCAGAGGTGGTGGGTCGCTTTTCAGAGGGCATTTGCAGTATGTTGCCTCCGTACTGCCGGATTGTAATTGCTGCACTACTGCTCCACAATCACATGCATTGCACAAGGCTGCACCACCCTGTAGAACAGCCTAATTAAGGCTCGGAAGTGGCACCGCCCGCTAAAAGCAATGTGCAATTTAGGTTTTGACATGAAGTACATGATGGCGGCAGCATGTGTAGAGCCGGGAGTGACTTGATGATAGCTCTCAGGCAGGTGGTAAAAATGTGGCTCAACCACCTGGTTTTATTGCCTCCTGGCCAAGTGTGTGAAGCCCAATCATTAGCAGTCCTGTGAACTGCGGACGCCAGCGTTGCCAAAATTCATTAAAATGGTTGAAAAGCCTTAAAATTTTATACCTTAATGCATTCAGGTAAAAAAACCTTCTGTTCCTGGGATCTTCCCCCATCCCTGATACTTACCTGAGCACCAACACGATCGAGCGCCGTGTATGAGAGTCGCTGCTTTCCCGGCTCTGTCCTTCCTCACATGGCAGATCAATAATAGCAGCAGTCATTGGCTCTCACTGCTGTCAATCAAACTCTGTGAAGAGGGAGTGGGCCCACGCCTATCTGTCTATGGATGCAGGCAGCGGGACTCGGAGTGAGCATGCACGAGTGCCCCCATAGGAAGCAGCTTTCTATGGGGGCACTGTATGAAAAGGAGGAGCCAGGGACGTCGGTGGGGAGCCCGAGAAGAAAAGGATCGGGGAGGATTTGTGCAAAGCCATTACACAGAGCAGGTAAGTAGAACGTGAGTGTTACTTTAATAAAGGGAAATATGAATCTGTACAATCGGTTTCACATTCAGCCCATGATACTGACCCAAGCCTAGCACAGGCTGATCCCCCACACATAAAATAGTCAATCTACACTTTATAAAGTTGAACTGCACCGCACTCCCCCCTTCCAAGTAGTAAAGCCTGGCAGATGGGAGCGAAGCGTCGAGGGAGTATTTTTAGCTCCATTGTGCCCTTCTCCTCCCCGCGATGTAATGACATAATTTGACATGAAGTCGGTGTCCCGCCATTACTGTCCTGGCACCAGTATGAGCTGATGTGTGCCGAGTCCTTTGTCTGAGCTGGAACGCGGCTCAGGCAGTGATCAGTGATCATTGTTATGATACGGGACGCAGCATGCTAAAAATACAAAGCGCCGAGGATAGTGAAACGCAGCCTGATCTCCTTCCCTGTCCAATGCTATTTCTGGGACCATGTGACAGCGCTGGGGCTGGGAAGTCCGTGGAGCTCTGGAGGTAATACACAGCAGGGACACCGGACAGAATTTAGGGGACGACATCCCACTATATGAAACTTGACAATGAATAAAGATTTATGGGGTTCATAACAAAATGAAGTAGAATACCACAGTAACTAAATGGTTAGCACTTCCGCCTGGCAGTACTCGGGTCGTTGGTTCAAATCCCTGCCTGGAGTTTGCATGTTCTCACTGTGCCTGCGTAGGTTTCCTCCCGGTACTCCGCTTTCCTCTAATTTGGCCCTAGTATGTGTATGTAGTGGTGTATTTAAGTTTTGTGCTGCCCTAGGCAACACAAAAAACCAGCTCCCCCCTCATGGAGAAATCCTGACGCTGACAAACACCCCCCTCCCCACAATAAAAGCCTGACATTAACCAACAGCCCCCCATACATTGGCAACCCACCCCACCTGGACGAGAGAGAAGACACTCACCTTCACAGCTCCGGACCCCCCCCCGGCAACAAGAGTCAGGCTCTGCATCTATTGTACAGCGCTGAGCAAACCCTTTGGCGCTATATAAACTCAATGTAATGTAATGTAATATAATACACCATCAAGCAGCCCACAGCCTCGCTCAGATCCCACCTGGTCCCCATGCTGTGTGTCCTTTCTTCCATCTCTTCTTTCGGGGGCAGCACTGCCCCCCTGAAAAAATGCGCCCTAAGCAAATGCCTTGTTTGCCTTGTGGATTGGTGTAAGGCCAATATGGTGCCAATATATTTATAAAGGGGTCAAAATCTTTCCCAAGTAATTATAGAGCTGTTAGTGTAACTTCTATAGTTGGGAAGATACTGGAGAGTTTAATAAAAGACCACATAGATGAGTTCTTGCTGGAAACAAATATTGTAAGCCACGGACAGCGTGGATTCATGAAAGACAGAAGTCACACAAATCTGATTTCTTTTTATGAGGAGGTGAGTAAAACCTTGGAACAGAGGGGTGGCGGGGGACGTGGTATACTTGGACAGAGGGGTGGCGGTGGACGTGGTATATTTGGACAGAGGGGTGGCTGTGGATGCGGTATACTTGGACAGAGGGGTGGCTGTGGACGTGGTATACTTGGACAGAGGGGTGTCGGTGGACGTGGTATACTTGAACAGAGGGGTGGCTGTGGACGTGGTATACTTGAACAGAGGGGTGGCTGTGGACGTGGTATACTTGGACAGAGGGGTGGCGGTGGACGTGGTATACTTGGACAGAGGGGTGGCTGTGGATGCAGTATATTGGACAGAGGGGGTGGCTGTGGATGCGGTATACTTGGACAGAGGGGTGACGGTGGACGTGGTATACTTGGATAGAGGGGTGGCGGTGGACGTGGTATACTTGGACAGAGGAGTGGCTGTGGATGCGGTATACTTGGACAGAGGGGTGGCGGTGGACGGGGTATACTTGGACAGAGGGGTGGCTGTGGACGTGGTATACTTGGACAGAGGGGTGGCGGTGGACGGGGTATACTTGGACAGAGGGGTGGCTGTGGATGCGGTATACTTGGACAGAGGGGTGGACGTGGTATACTTGGACAGAGGGGTGGACATGGTATACTTGGACAGAGGGGTGGCTGTGGATGCGGTATACTTGGACAGAGGGGGTGGCTGTGGATGCGGTATACTTGGACAGAGGGGTGGCGGTGGACGTGGTATACTTGGATAGAGGGGTGGCGGTGGACGTGGTATACTTGGACAGAGGAGTGGCTGTGGATGCGGTATACTTGGACAGAGGGGTGGCTGTGGACGTGGTATACTTGGACAGAGGGGTGGCGGTGGACGGGGTATACTTGGACAGAGGGGTGGCTGTGGACATGGCATACTTGGACAGAGGGGTGGCGGTGGACGTGGTATACTTGGACAGAGGGGGGTGGCGGTGGCTGAGTGGCTGCCACTATTCCTATGAACCGATCATTCCAGCCACAGCAATTCACCGATTTTTGCCGCTGGAATCTGGTGTATGTGGGCCTAAACAGCCGTGTGAAGGAGGCCTTCTGCCATCAAGACTCGGTGATTGTACACACTTTTCTGATCAATAGAATATCTGTAATTGTCCACATAATGCACACTGTGGGCCAGATTCGCGGCAGGAGGTCATGCCAAGCGCTTTAATAGAAAGATGGCTCTGACAGTGGCAGTTGTCTTTTGTAAACCCGGTATATTGGAACAACTGCCCATTCTCATCAGATCGAAGATATGCTGCAGAAGTGACAGGCTCTCTTCAAGGAAGTCATCTAAAGTAGCATTAGCGGTCTATGGGGAGGGGGGACGTACCTGTTGGGGCTCCATGGTATGGGGGGCGTGGAGCAGATTTCTGGGAAGAGAATACCAGTAGCATTAGCGGTCTATGGGGAGGGGGGACGTACCTGTTGGGGCTCCATGGTATGGGGGGCGTGGAGCTGATTTCTGGGAAGAGAATACCATTATCTCGTATTCGATCCAAGGCAAAGTGCATTTCACACAATGGCTGCCGGTTCAGCTGGAACTGCAGCTCCACCTGGGGGAAGAAGAGACACATGACATCAGAAAAGGGAGCCAAATAATCCGTAGAAGGATGAAAACTGGGGTCCGGTATATTATATGGGAGTTCAGAGGAGACCCCGAGAATGCAGAGCAGACAAGAACACAGATGTATATGTGATGTATACAGGATTCCCATGTAACTGTTTAACCCATGAAAGAGAAAACCACCTCTGTATTAGCCTACCATTGTTCTGGGCTCTGCTGACACTTTTGGTGTAAACACTCCAGCAGAGACAGTACAAGCCCATAACAGGCATGGCCAGGTGTACAGACCTCAGCACAGGGATGGTGGGAACCCATCATGGTGGTGCTTTGCAGGTGTGTAGGACCTGGGAGCTAAACCACAGGGGCCTTACCTGTGGCGTTTGAGATACCCGAGTGACACCCTAAATACGAACGGCTACCAAGTGACTCTTATTGAGCTAAAAAAAAGCGGGGACTTGCAGAGTCTAAATATAAGAGCATGTGTGGTGTTTCGCTGTTAAAGCGTCTGCTCCTCGGACTCCCTTCTGTGGCCTCACCTGCATTTCCCGGTCGGCTCGAAGCCGCAGCTCCTCGCAGCAGTCCTTGCATATTCTGAGGAAGATATACTCCTTGGTCTTCTCCTCAATGAGGGCCTCGAAGACCTTCTCTTTGCTGCCCTGACTCTGCGGAGATTTGTCCTTCGACACCGGCAACACGTACACGGCGTTCACTTTGGTCATCACCACCTGCCTGCCAGCCAAAGTGTCTTCAGAAAGTGTCTCAGTGAGTTTAAAGCGCCCAAACAGCTGCCCGTTCTGGGCATATTTTGCCCCTCCAGACACGCCCGTCAGCATGAAGCTCGCCACCAACTGCAGCTGCACTTTGATGTTGAACCTGAGAAATGAGAGATGGTGATCATCAATAGATGGCACATATAGAAATGAGAGATGGTGATCATCAATAGACGGCACATATAGAAATGAGAGATGGTGATCATCAATAGACGGCACATATAGAAATGAGAGATGGTGATCAATAGACGGCACATATAGAAATGAGAGATGGCGATCAATAGACGGCACATATAGAAATGAGAGATGGTGATCATCAATAGACGGCACATATAGAAATGAGAGATGGAGATCATCAATAGACGTCACATATAGAAATGAGAGATGCTGATCAATAGACGGCACATATAGAAATGAGAGATGGTGATCAATAGACAGCACATATAGAAATGAGAGATGGTGATCAATAGGCGGCACATATAGAAATGAGAGATGGTGATCAATAGACGGCACATATAGAAATGAGAGATGGTGATCATCAATAGACGGCACATATAGAAATGAGAGATGGTGATCATCAATAGACGGCACATATAGAAATGAGAGATGGTGATCAATAGACGGCACATATAGAAATGAGAGATGGTGATCAATAGACGGCACATACAGAAATGAGAGATGGTGATCAATAGACGGCACATATAGAAATGAGAGATGGTGATCAATAGACGGCACATATAGAAATCAGAGATGGTGATCATCAATAGACGGCACACATAGAAATGAGAGATGGTGATCAATAGACGGCACATATAGAAATGAGAGATGGTGATCAATAGACGGCACACATAGAAATGAGAGATGGTGATCAATAGACGGCACACATAGAAATGAGAGATGGTGATCAATAGACGGCACATATAGAAATGAGAGATGGTGATCAATAGACGGCACATATAGAAATGAGAGATGGTGATCAATAGACGGCACATACAGAAATGAGAGATGGTGATCAATAGACGGCACATATAGAAATGAGAGATGGTGATCAATAGACGGCACATATAGAAATGAGAGATGGTGATCAATAGACGGCACATATAGAAATGAGAGATGCTGATCATCAATAGACGGCACATATAGAAATCAGAGATGGTGATCATCAATAGACGGCACACATAGAAATGAGAGATGGTGATCAATAGACGGCACACATAGAAATGAGAGATGGTGATCAATAGACGGCACATATAGAAATGAGAGATGGTGATCAATAGACGGCACATATAGAAATGAGAGATGGTGATCAATAGACGGCACATACAGAAATGAGAGATGGTGATCAATAGACGGCACATATAGAAATGAGAGATGGTGATCAATAGACGGCACACATAGAAATGAGAGATGGTGATCAATAGACGGCACACATAGAAATGAGAGATGGTGATCAATAGACGGCACATATAGAAATGAGAGATGGTGATCATCAATAGACGGCACACATAGAAATGAGAGATGGTGATCATCAATAGACGGCACACACAGAAATGAGAGATGGTGATCATCAATAGACGGCACATATAGAAATGAACATCAGAAACTCCACAGCACAAGTGACTGACGCAGAACCTTTACTGGGAGGATGAGGAGCCGTGGACGGACCTGAGGGAAGTCCCTACAATGACCCGTTCATCAGCAAGACACCAAGAACCGGAACAAGGCTGGGCCTACAGGTATGCAGCAGGTGTAGAAGGTACAGACAAGCATTAGGTCCATTCAAGGACTTTAATGACAATGGATATTGTGTAGGGACCACTCCAAGACTTTCTCAAGGCGTGACTTGGTGTGACGTATTTCAGAAAACATAAAAACACAGACCCCCCCCATGGTGATGTAATAAGAGATCATACATGAATTTTACGACACGCGTCGCGCTCCATCCCCCGTCACACCGGGGCCCTCTTGTGGCTCAGCTGTGAGCATTCATCTTAATTATGAGCCCTATAAATGAACAACCTAAAGCCGAGTTTCGCGCCCCCCCCCCCCCGCCCCCCAAATACTGTAGCTGCTGACTTTTAGAATAGGGATCCAGCGGCATCCTCACCCCGAAGCGATTCTTCAATCGGCTGACAAGTGCTGGCGCTACCATCTTACCTAAGGGAAACTGGCAGTGAAGCTTTGCGGTTTCACAGCTGGTTTCCTACTGCGCATGCGCGAATTGTGCTGCGCTTTCTGAATGGGCGGCAGTCCTCTGGGAACTGTGAAGTGTCCCAGAGGGCTTCGGGGGGGGGGGGGGGGGGAAGGAGAGGGGGAGCCGCTGCAAACTGTGCCAGACGTTGGAGTGGGTACCTGTAACCCCCTCAAAATGTGGCAGTGGGAGGAGGAGGCATATAAGCGGAGCTTCCACTTTTTGGTGGAACTCCGCTTTAAATAACGACCGGTGTGTTTCGATGATCGGGGTGGAAAATCTGCAACAGATCTGAGGATCAATTACAATGACTGTCAGAATACAATGACAGCCAACAATAGGGAAAATATTTCTTCATATGACCTGCACATTAGTCAGCTGCTCCCTGTTCTATGCAGCCTTTTGTTGTGCGTTTCCCTAGCCGTCTAAGACTCTATTCCTGCCCACCTTGGAGGTTCAGGTGTTACAGGCCACCTGGAAATGCCAGGATTCCTCCTCCCGCATGCTTCATAATATAACATTGCAGCAGGCAGTAAAGGAGCACCTTGTAACGTGCCCTGCAGCTGTAGGGACCCGACTACACAGTGGGTGAGAACCCCTGCACTGGGATCTAAGGCTAGGTTCACATTTGTGCGGGAGGTGCCACTACGGATCCGCATAAAAATCTGTGCGGCCGCACCACCCGCACAGAGGAATGCAGGCCTGCGGAAGGGGTGCCATTAATTCTAAAATCGCAAGCGTATTGGGAACCGAGGTTCCCGTGCGGGCTGCGTTTTCTGAAGACGTGCAGGGACTTCTTCCCTGTGTGTCCCGGGGCTCTCATTCCCATGCAAAACGCGGCCTGCAGGAATGCGGATACGTGAACCTGGGTAACTGGTAGCTGATTTCAGTCTTGGAAAGCCAAGAAACTGACTGGGTGACGCCCATTTCCTGAAACGTCACCAAAACCAGAAGTATGCGTCCGTTTTGGGGACTTTTGAGTCGATTAGTGAACCCTTTTCTGCCTCTCAGCCTTTTTTCAGGATCATGAAAAGTTTTTTTTTTGTTTTTTTTTAACCAAAGAATGACTAAAGGGATTAAACATGAGTTGGTTTCAGTCCTAAAAAGCCAAATTGGCTGGGACATGCCCAAACAGGAAGTGATGTCACAAAAACAGGAAGTGACATCAAAACTAAAAGGTGGCCTTTTAACACTTTTTACTTGACCTTTTTTACTTTTCAAGCCTTGTTGCCTCCAGTTTTGGGACTTTTGAGCCCATTATGACACTTTTTCTGCCTCTGTGAGAAAAAGTAAGTCCTGGAACCAGAAGCAAAGTTACCAAAATAGGAAGTATGCATTTTTTGGGGGGACTTTTTTGTCTAATAAAACCTTCTCCGCCTCTTTCAGTCTTTGCTCAGAATTGGGAAAATGTAAAGGGTTGCCCCCCTGCACCAGAATAAGTTTCCTCCAGCTAAATGTACCTTATAGATAAGGGGCAAGCCTCAACCCTCCAGCTGTTGTAGAACTACAAGTCCCATCATGTCTCCGCCTCTGGGAGTCATGCTTGTGGCTGTCAGTTTTGCAATGTCTCATGGGTAGATCTGCAATACCTGGAGGAGCAAAGTTTGCCTACCCCTGCTGTGGATGCACCCCCACTCCTCACCCAATGACCTGGCAATCTCTCAGGATTGGGTATGGGGATGAGATGGAACAAAAAGCACCTCCAAGCGAAGTATCCAAAGAAAATTTATTAAAACCCAAAGTCGGGCCACTCACATTTAATGAAGTTAAACAGGCTCATCTGAATAAGGGAAAAGTCAAGGGAGTCCTTCCAAATGCCATCAGTGCGGATAGTGCCTCTGAGCAGGAAGAGAACCAGCCAAACCTTTTGTGTAGGTGGAGCACACCATGGAGCACGGTGCAGGCGTGATGACGTCACTTGGATCCCCAATGCAATGTGATGAGTTTCGGACCATGCGAAATGCTTCACACTCCAGCTACACCAAGGGATGGATTGACCGACACTCTCTTCCCATTGAGAGGCATGACCAGCACTAATGGCGTATGGAAGGACTTCCCTCAGCTTTTCCCATATACAGATGAGCCTGTTAACTTAGTTTAAACGTGAGCGGCCCGACATTGGATTTTAATACATTTTCTTTGGGTACTGCGCTACGGGGCGCTTCTCTGCTGTGTCTCATTACTACCACTACATCTCCTGGATCGGCTTGCCCCATGGGTCATCCACCTATAGGCATCCAATTCAAAATGGATCCTATGCAGTTGGACTTTTAAAACTTTGTTTTCCTTGTTCTTATTGGATCTGGGGCCGCCATGTGACAGGAAGTGGAAAGATGACACTTACTTGCTGACTTCCTTGTACTGTGCAATCTCTTCGATATAAAGCAGGTCGTGCAGGCGGGACTGGTAATTGGCCTTAGTCAGTGATTTGTCCAGCACAGACTGGGTAAACAATTGGTCTGCGGAGAGCGGGATTTGGTATCGGCTGAGGAGACTCCTCTCAAGTTCAGTAGTTTCATTCGGCTCAAACTCTACGATGGTTTTCGACATGGAGTCCCAGCGCTTCGCCGTCGTTAGCAGCTGCTGCCGGGCTTGCATCAAGTATTCAAGGTCTGCAGAGAAAGATGGACAAACTGAGTGCGCAACACTCACTGAGGGCAGCAACGGACATTGTGTAGGCATGCATCCCTACAACTGTACAGGCAGGGGGATGCTGGGACCTGTAGTCCCCCAGTAGCTGAATACACATAGATCTATCACCATGGAGGTGAATATACACAGCCCAATTACAGATGGGGGCCGATTTGTGAATCGTCTGTGAAGGGTAATGCTTCATTATCACATGCAGAACGTTTCCAGCTCCCCATCACCCAATGTGAACAGATGGTGACGGGAAGGTGAATATTCTGTCTCGTCTCATTATTCTATATGATTAGCGGAGCAGCCGGAAAGAGGAAGTGGAGAAGAAAACTCAATGACCTTCTGATGAGCCCCAGGCTTCTGTAGTAACACGACTGTGAAATTATCCGCTACTATGAACACGGAACATCTTCACAGGCTGAACTGGCGGGGCCACGGGGACCAGGACACAGCGCCATGTGAATGTAAATCGGCTCACCTCAGCGGAGGGGCCGTCCTGGACAGAAGTACAGGGAGGGGTGCAAGGGACCGCACATTACAGTCGCAACAGACCACCTACTAGATTTATGTGAAATCACTTATGTGGGACACAAGATTACACCTACTCATAAAAATTATATGTGACTGTATGAAATGGAGATCATTTGGAAAATCGGTCCATCTATGCAGTGTATGTGGCCATTCTATAAAACGTACTTTAGGGCCAATGGTGGAATAGTACGATCTGAATGGGGTAATTGTTATGTCATAACCGCCTTCTAAACGTTAAAGTGAATGTAAAGGTAGGTTGTTTTTTCCTTTTTAATAACAGTTATGTAATACTTACCTGCTCTGTAATGGTTTTGCACAGAGTAGCCGCAATCCTCCTTAACTGTGGTCCCCTGCCGGCGCTCCTGGCCCCTCCCTCCTGCCAAGTGCCCTCAGAGCAAGCAGCTTGCTATGGGGGCACCTAAGTAGGCTCGCTCCTTAGCCACTGCTCTGTGTGTCTATTCAAACACAGATGAGGCTTGGCCCTGACCCTGCTCTCTCCTCAGTAGCTATGATTGCCAAAGGCTTCTGCTGCTGTCTCAGCCAATGAAGAGGGAGAGACCCAGGGGAGCCCAGGCTCTCACGCACATCACTGGATCAGGGTTGGGGGGGCTGCTACACACAAAATATTTTTTACCTTCATGCATGAAGGTAAAAAAGCTTGAGCCTCTAACACACACACACACACACACACATACACACATACATATATACACACGAAACTGGAAAAATTTGAATATGGTGCAAAAGTTCATTTATTTCAGTAATGCAATCTCAGAAAATGAGAATATTCCATTCAATCAATAAAACACGGATTGTACATAGAACAATATCGCACCTCTGAAAAGTAGAAGCTGCATATGTACTCAGTACTTGGTTTGGGCCCCTTTTGCAGCAATTACTGCCTCAATGCAGCGTGGCATGGAAGCTATCAGCCTGTCTCACTGCTGAGGTGTTATGGAAGACCAGGATGCTTCAATAGCGGCCTTCAGTTCTTCTGCATTGTTGCGTCTCATGTCTCTCATCTTTCTCTTGGCAATGCCCCATAGATTCTCTATGGGGTTCAGGTCAGGCGAGTTTGCTGGCCAATCAAGAACAGTAATCCCACGGTCATTGAACCAGGTTTAGGTGCATTTGGCAGTGTGGGCGGTGCAAGTCCTGCTGGAAAATGAAGTCAGCATCCCCATAAAGCTGGTCTGTGGAAGGAAGCATGAAGTGCTCCAAAATCTCCTGGTAGACGGCTGCGTGGACCCTGGACTTAATGAAGCACAGTGGACCAACACCAGCAGATGACATGGCTCCCCAAATCAACACAGACTGTGGAAACTTCACACTGGACTTCAAGCATATTGCAGTGTGTGCCTCTCCATTCTTCCTCCATACTAGGGTCCTTGGGCCTCTCCATTCTTCCTCCATACTCGGGGTCCTTGGGCCTCTCCATTCTTCCTCCATACTAGGGGTCCTTGGGCCTCTCCATTCTTCCTCCATACTCGGGGTCCTTGGGCCTCTCCATTCTTCCTCCATACTCGGGGTCCTTGGGCCTCTCCATTCTTCCTCCATACTCGGGGTCCTTGGGCCTCTCCATTCTTTCTCCATACTCGGGGTCCTTGGGCCTCTCCATTCTTCCTCCATACTCGGGGTCCTTGGGCCTCTCCATTCTTCCTCCATACTCGGGGTCCTTGGGCCTCTCCATTCTTCCTCCATACTCGGGGTCCTTGTGCCTCTCCATTCTTCCTCCATACTCAGGGTCCTTGGTTTCCAAATGACATGCAAAAGTTGCTCTCTCAGAAAAGAGGACTTTGGACCACTGAGCACCAGACCAGGCCTGTTTTTCTTTAGCCCAGGTAAGACGCTTCTGACGTTGTTTGTTGTTCAGGAGCGGCTTGACAAGAGGAATACGACATTTGAAGCCCATGTCCAGGATCCGTCTGTGTGTGGTGGCTCTTGATGCACTGACTCCAGCCTCAGTCCACTCCTTGTGAAAGTCCCCAACACTTTTGAATGGCCTTTTCCTGACAATCCTCTCCAGGCTGCGGTCATCCCTGCTACTTCTGCACCTTTTTCTTCCACACTTTTCCCTTCCATATAACTTTCTATTAATGTGCTTTGATACAGCACTTTTGGGAACATCCAACTTCTTCTGCAATTCCCTTTTGAGGCTTTCCCTCCTTATGGAGGGTGTCAGTGATGGTGTCAGGTCAGCAGTCTTTCCCATGATTGTGATTCCTACTGCACCAGACTGAGAGACCATTTAAAGGCTCAGGAACCCTTTGCAGGTGTTATGGCTGAATGATCTGATTAGAGTGGGACACTTTGAGCCGAGAATATTCCACCTTTTCACAATATTCTCATTTTCTGAGATTGTGGATTTGGGGTTTTCATGAGCTGTAAGCCATAATCATCACAATGATGACAAATCACGGCTTGAACTATCTTGCTTTGCATGTAATGAGTCTCATATATTAGTTTCACCTTTTTAAGTTGCTGCACTGAAATAAATGAACTTTTGCATGATGTTCTAATTTTTCGAGTTTCATCTGTATACTTCTTTCTGTCCTTAAAGGGCCAGTTCACCTCGCCTATGCAGAAAAGGGGCGTCTGCAGGTAAAATAAAATTGTGCAGCTTTGGCCAGAGTTGAATAACCCCCTTGCTTTAAGCTTAGGCCATTTAGGTACCTCATGAAGCCTGACCAGAATACTTCCAGGATGTTGCTAAGACGTTGCTAAGTGAGGCCTAGTCATTACTGCTCCAGTCCTCCATCACAGGATAAGGGAAGAGCTTCTGCATCAGGGGAGGGGAAGAGCTTCTGCATCAGGGAGGGGAGAGCTTCTGCATCAGAGCACGTGAGGGGAGGTTTGAATTAGAGAACGCTCGCTTCTGCATCCTGCGATGGCGAGGATGGCGAAGGTGAACAGTAACAGCTAGGCCTCACTTAGCAGAGTCCTAGCAACGTCTTAGGATATTCCAGTCAGGCTTCAGAAGGTATTGAAGTGGCCTACACCGATAGCAAGGGCATTATTCAGCTTTATTCAGAGCTGCACAGTTTGTTTTTATCTACAAAGCCCTCTTACCTGCATAGGTAGTTTATTTGTAAAGGAGAACGAACCCTTTACATACAATGTACTTGTTTCAGCAACAAAACACGTAAGCAGTTCTAAACCAGTTCACAGACTTTGCATGGGCAACAATGTTATTTCTGCTTTACACATTAATCTCCATCCACAGTCTTCCATGTGATGTTTACATACAGTGCCCAGCAGTCACTATAGATCAGAGGTACCTTCAGTTGAAGCAGCGTCCACCATGATCCTCTGCATCAGCACCGGTTCCTCTCCAAAGTCAAACACTACAGTTTGCCGGAAGGTCCCAAATATTTCAGTGGAGAAGTTGATGATTACTTTGTACATGCAATGATCGGTCCCGTTCTGCGCCAGGTTCTCGCCCACCCACTCCTGGCAGCTCTCCGGCACCTCCTGGGACATCTGGGTGTTGCCGTCTCCGGCGGATATTGCCACAATACTGAAATGAGGTCTGTGTGCATCGTACAGCAGGGCCACCCGGTGAAGGATTCTCGCAGGCTGCAAAAGTCAATGGTAAAATCATCATTCATCAGAATCCTGCTCCCTCTGTCCTATCATCTAGTCAGAGTACAAATCTATACCCTGTCACTGAACAGTGTCATCTCCCATCTGGACAACAGTTACCTCTCCCATACACGAGAGTCGCATCACATTTGGCTTCCACCTACAGTTACAAATATATGCAATGGACACCTCGGCTTCTAATGAAATCAGGATTATTATTGGGATCTATTTAGCCAACAGTGCTGAGTTCTGGAAAAAATGTTTAGCACTGTAATGCACTGCCCCTGCCTAAGTAAATATAGATACATCGGGTCATCTACAAGTTTCCTTTAACACTTGGGCCCCATTCAAATGGGGTACAGACATGCATCTTCCATGCACGGCTGTCTTTTACCGGCAGGAGGATGCACAGCTGCTGCTTTCATCCCTCTGCTGGCGCCAAATTAATTTCTAATGTGACAGGCAGCTGCAGTGTACTAGTATGACAGGCGGGAGCGTGTGGGTCCCCGCTTGAATACAGGGTGCTTTAGGGACCCACGCACGCATGTTACATTAGGACACAGCAGCTGTAATCTGTAGAAATGAATGGGACGCCAGCATGGGTATGCAACAGCTGTGCTTCACCTTGCCGGTAAAAGACAGACCACATGCACCCCATGTGAATGCGGCCCTATTTTCAATGTCAAATCGTGAAATTATTACGAATGCTGCAAAAGTGTGCCCATCCTAGAAAGGGCAAGGTAACGTGAAATGAAATAATGTAAGGCACAAGTGAGAGAAGCACACATTCAGGGTATAGGTGAGGGTCAGGCAAGTTGCCCAGTTAGGGAAAGATTGATAAGTGTGGGGTCACTGTGGTAAAAATATTGTCAAAAGGGGCAGGAGGGAGCAGGTGGGTAATGTGCAGACATGGTGGTGAGAGAGGCGGGTGGTGTGCAGAAATGGTGGTGAGAGACATGGGTGACAAAGGTGCAGTGATGAGAGTAGGTGGGTGGTGTGCAAACATGGAGGTGAGAGAGGCGGGTGGTGTGCAAACATGGAGGTGAGTGACAAAGGTGCAGTGATGAGAGTAGGTGGCTGGTGTGCAGACGTGGGGGGTGAGAGAGGCGGGTGGTGTGCAGATGTGGGGGTGAGAGAGGCGGGTGGTGTGCAGATGTGGGGGTGAGAGAGGTGGGTAACATAAAGGTGCAGTGATGAGAGTAGGCGGGTGGTGTGCAGACACGGTGGTGAGAGTAGGCGGGTGGTGTGCAGACACGGGGGTGAGAGTAGGCGGGTGGTGTGCAGACACGGTGGTGAGAGTAGGCGGGTGGTGTGCAGACACGGTGGTGAGAGTAGGCGGGTGGTGTGCAGACACGGTGGTGAGAGTAGGCGGGTGGTGTGCAGACACGGTGGTGAGAGTAGGCGGGTGGTGTGCAGACACGGTGGTGAGAGTAGGCGGGTGGTGTGCAGACACGGTGGTGAGAGTAGTAGGCGGGTGGTGTGCAGACACGTGGTGAGAGTAGGCGGGTGGTGTGCAGACACGGGGGTGAGAGAGGGGGTGGTGTGCAGACACGGGGGTGAGAGAGGCGGGTGGTGTGCAGACGTGGGGGTGAGAGAGGCGGGTGGTGTGCAGACGTGGGGGTGAGAGAGGCGGGTGGTGTGCAGACGTGGGGGTGAGAGAGGCGGGTGGTGTGCAGACGTGGGGGTGAGAGAGGCGGGTGGTGTGCAGACGTGGGGGTGAGAGAGGCGGGTGGTGTGCAGACGTGGGGGTGAGAGAGGCGGGTGGTGTGCAGACGTGGGGGTGAGAGAGGCGGGTGGTGTGCAGACGTGGGGGTGAGAGAGGCGGGTGGTGTGCAGACGTGGGGGTGAGAGAGGCGGGTGGTGTGCAGACGTGGGGGTGAGAGAGGCGGGTGGTGTGCAGACGTGGGGGTGAGAGAGGGGGTGGTGAGAAGACGTGGGGGTGAGAGAGGCGGGTGGTGTGCAGACGTGGGGGTGAGAGAGGCGGGTGGTGTGCAGACGTGGGGGTGAGAGAGGCGGGTGGTGTGCAGACGTGGGGGTGAGAGAGGCGGGTGGTGTGCAGACGTGGGGGTGAGAGAGGCGGGTGGTGTGCAGATGTGGGGGTGAGAGAGGGGCGGGATGGGGAAAGAAGACGGTGGGGTGAGAAGACGTGGGGGTGAGAGAGGCGGGTGGTGTGCAGACGTGGGGGTGAGAGAGGCGGGTGGTGTGCAGACGTGGGGGTGAGAGAGGCGGGTGGTGTGTGCAGACGTGGGGGGTGAGAGAGGCGGGTGGTGTGCAGACGTGGGGGTGAAAGAGGTGGGTGACATAAAGGTGCAGTGATGAGCGTAGGCGGGTGGTGTGCAGACACGGTGGTGAGAGGGGTGGTGTGCAGACACGGTGGTGAGAGAGGCGGGTGGTGTGCAGATGTGGGGGTGAGAGAGACGGGTGGTGTGCAGACGTGGGGTGAGAGAGACGGGTGGTGTGCAGACGTGGGGGTGAGAGAGACGGGTGGTGTGCAGACGTGGGGGTGAGAGAGGCGGGTGGTGTGTGCACACGTGGGGGTGAGAGAGGCGGGGGGGGGGTGGTGTGCAGACGTGGGGGTGAGAGAGGCGGGTGGTGTGCAGACGTGGGGGTGAGAGAGGCGGGTGGTGTGCAGACGTGGGGGTGAGAGTAGGTGGGTGGTGTGCAGACACGGTGGTGAGAGAGGTGGGTGGTGTGCAGATGTGGGGGTGAGAGAGGCAGGTGACATAAAGGTGCAGTGGTGAGAGTAGGTGGGTGGTGTGCAGACGTGGGAGTGAGAGAGGCGGGTGACAAAGGTGAAGTGGTGAGAGTAGGTAGGGGGTGGTGTGCAGACACGGTGGTGAGAGAGGTGGGTGGTGTGCAGATGTGGGGGTGAGAGAGGCGGGTGACATAAAGGTGCAGTGGTGAAGTAGGTGGTGTGTGGTGGTGCAGAGTGGGGTGAGAGGGGGGTGGTGTGCAGACATGGTGGTGAGAGAGGCGGGTGACATAAAGCTGAGAGGAAGGGAAGAGGACGATGGGAGTCAGGTGCAATGATGAGTGCAGTAGGAGTGGAGTAGAGTCAGGTTCAGTGGTGGTGGGGGAGTGATGTTCAAGGTAGATGTTGAGGTTGACGGGGACACACCGATGTGGTGTGCTCAGCCTTTTGATGCTTTACCTAAAAAGTAACAGAATAGGACCCCATAAAGTCAGCAAAGTCAGGAAAGCAATTTAGCAGCAAGTGTAGAGGCCTCAGGTAGGGATGCGCCAATAGCATGTATTTTCACGAGCACTCATGCAAATGTTCCCGACAGGCTATGATGGGAAACCACATGTGATTTGGACAGGAATTGCTTTCCTGTTCAAAATTGCATGCTATTGTTTGCGGTGCAATTTTTGCCAATACATTTTATATTGAAGCAAATCGCATCACAAAGTATTGGTACTCGGTATCGGCGAGTACTTGACAAAAAGTCTTGGTATTTGTACTCACCGATCAAACAAAGGGTATGGGTGCACCCTGGTCTCAGGGTAGTGTGATCATAGCGTATAATGGAGGCATAGACGGGGCTTTCACCAAATGTGTAGTGGCAGTGATTTGACATCTTTACAGTCACACTGATTACAGCTTCTGTCACACTACCTTGGATCCGCGTATACAATGCTTCGCACAATCAGCGAAAGTCATGGAATGAGGACAATGCATTAATAGATATGGGGGGGGGGGGGGGGTCAGTACATGTTCTCTCCATAGCCAGAAGTGCAGGATTCTCTCATTACAGACACCATGGGCACTACAGGAGTGCCTGCTTTCCAATACCAGTCACAGTTTATAGAGCACACAGGCAGGAGGGGAAGGCACCTACCTTACATATCAGCTGAAACGTCCAGGTCTGCTGTGACTTTTTGGTGGTAACAGTGACGGACAGATCTGGGCTGTAGTCCACTTGAACTCCATCCACACATTCACTGAGCTGGAGAAGAAAACAAGAGACATATTACATGCTGTACAAATACCCGTCAGTCCAAGTCTCAGAGCTCATTGTGAGAATCCAGAACCTGAGCACATCCGTTTGTGTCTTCATGACTTCTATGCTGCCTGTTACTGGGACTCTCTTTCGGCAGGAAAGCCCCGGCTGAAGTCTCATGTCCAGCCAGACAGAAGTGCATTTTGATGTACGTAGATATTTTTTGCTTCTTGATAGAACAGCCTTTAGACTGGTTTTAGACAGCTATAATTCTTGTTTTTAAAGGTTAAGTTTACCTTTAACAAAAAATAATCAATACACACATTTTTGAAAGTAAAAATGTGCACTGATCTTTAATAAACAGGAGCCTGCAACGTATTGCACCAGCTATCACTAGCCTGCAGGGGCAATACTTTGTACCTCTGTACTAGTGGTGACCTTGATAGCTGGAGGGGGTGTGAATGGACTACTGGGGCGCTGATTCGCATGCTCGCAGCCCATTTAAATTACAAGTCTGTCTGCCATGGTGTCGAATGAGACTCATAATTTTTTTTTACATTGATGGCTGTGCAGCCACAGCCCAGCGCAGCCACATCCTCAATATGTGACAGTGGGTGCACTGTCATGGGGAAGGGGAAGGGGAAGGTTGCTGAACATTACATCCTAAATATAGCTGTAAAATGTAGCATGATCAAAATGGTGAACTTTTAAAAAGGATAAGTTCATTTTTTAGTAAAAAATAATAAAATGTACATTTTTTGCAGGTAAAAAAATGTGCATTGATAATTTTTGACTGCAAAGCATTGCACCAGGGATCAGCAGATGGCTGGTGCCATGCAGGTCTCCTGCAGATCTGTCAGAAAATCTTCTTGCTTGTATGGGATGTACGGGTGATATGAGCAAGCAGATATACTGACAGGAAGAATCAATGAACTACCATCCAGCTCCAGAGTGCCGTGGGTAGTTCATTGAGGGCTACAAGCAGACAGCTGCTAAGGCTTTTGGGACTTGTAGTCTCTCATTCACAGAATGCTGTGAATAAGAGACGCAGCGGGGGGGGGAGCACCATACGGCCACATTTTCTTTTTTTAATTTGACAGCTAGTGGGGGGGGGGGGGGGGGGGGATTCCTCACTAACTGTCGAAGCGGGGAGCAGGGGCCAGTGAGATCGTAACATGTTACACCCTGAATACAGATGTAAAATGTTACAAAAGGTGATCCTATCCAGGGGCAGACTGGAAACTCGGCACTGCCCGGGGTCAATAGGGGGCCCCATGAGATGCCCTGGTACCTTTTTCTTAGGCTTTTTTGAGTTTTAGGCAAGGACACAGGGGCCCCATGATCCCCTATTGCCCAGGGGGCCCCATGAGTTGTCAGTCCGCCCCTGATCCTATCCTATCAGCAGCCCAGTTCCTTTAGCAGGCTATATCCAATCACTGTCCATCCTCAAGTGACATTCGTACAATATCAAAGCTGTCATCTTACTGGCTGTTACAGTCAAATGTTTTTGAGCCCAGGTTCACACGGATGTGGTGCGGGATTAGCGGCGATTCCTGAGCGTTTTCCTCCCCGCATCACATTGGCACTCCGTTCATGCAAACTGCTATGGGTGTCAACAATACCCCAAAAACGGTCCCCAAACTTCAGTGCAATTGGCTGAATCAGATCACATGTGTGTGAACACCCATGCAATCAGATTCCAGTGAGGGAAAAAAAAAAAAGGTGTGCGCACCTTTTTCATGAGGCTGCGGTGCAATTTGAGCCATACAAAATGAATGGACTCAAATCGCACTACAAAGAATCGCCTATGTGCTTTGGACAGGAATGTGGTGAGACTCCTGTCCCAATCACATGCAGTTCCCTGCACCTCATCCGTGTGAACCCAGGCTTAATGTATGATCCATTATATTAGGACACGTGTGGACTTGACTCACCACTCTCTCTGGTGACAAGGAATTCATCCATTTCTCAATCAGAGACTCCATGTAGCTACCCGAACATTGCGTGTTTTCCTTCTGCTGCTTGAGGCGGATGAGGCGCGAGGCGTACCGCTTCTGCCACTCCTCCAGCTCCTCCTGGGAGTGCGCCGATGTACACTGCGCTCCGTACCGACATATCCCCTGCTCCAGAAACCTGCACGGCAAACCCAATCCCATTACCTGTCACTGTGTAGGTATGTCAAGCTTCAGTATAAAATACAGCAAAGTGTCTTAAAAATCTGCATGGTATTGAAATAGGAGAACATAAAGAAAAAAGGAGCATGTGCTATACTATGGAGGACAGAGAACGGGACACTGTGGGACCTAATCAGGCCTGTTCCAGGGGCTTCAGCTTGTAGAACAGCCGTGTGACCAGCAAGCTTTGAGAAATAATTTGCAAAGCATCCAGCAAACGTTTTTTGAAGCTTTTAAAGTTCTATTCAGCTAGTTTTTTAAACATTTTACACATATCCTAATGGGAGAGCTGATAGCCACTTACTCAAGCAGCTAGCAGGCTTCAGAGCTTTTTGAAAGCCTGCTAGCAGCTTGTTGAAGGTGGCAATGAGCCCTCTTATAAGGATGTGTGTTCGACATTTACAAACTGGAGCTGAATGTTACTTTAGAAGCTTCAACAAAGTTTAATAAATGCTCTGCAAATACTCTGTCAAAGCTTGCTTGTCACACTGCTCCTATATAAGCTGAAGCCCTTGTGTACCAGGCCTTACAGTGAGGGGGCAAATACAGCCATAGGATGGACCCCGCAGTGCTGACTCCACACTGCACGCTCATTCTACAAGGGGCCCCTATGATACATTACATGCACATACCTTTTACAGAGAGTGTACTCTTCGCTGCTCGTCACGCCCCGCGGTGGTGGTCTATAGAGCCATCCGTCCTGAGTTCCTGCAGGGATGTAATGACATAACAGTTAGTAAAGCTGTCGCAGGTCACCAATAACAGAGCCAACAGCAGCTCCCAAGAGGAGTTTTGAGGCTCTCAATTTCAAAGAGGAGTACAACGTACCATCTTCCAGATCCTCCCCCTGGTAACTGCTGCGGACATTGCTGCCGACATTCTGAAAACACGAGAAAGACACATTTCAGAGAGTCACAAGACCAGGCCCAGGTATTAAAAGGCAGTTTACTGAGCAGGGAGGGGTAGGGGCCAACCCGTGTATCAAACCATAAAAAGCAAGCGAACGTCATAGGAGGAACATGGGCAACTGACTATTATAGGTGAAGGAGAAGACATCCTGCTTGTCACATTTTCCATCAATATGACTTCACATGCAGTTCAATGCAACTGCACCTTTCCCTTAGGCCTCGTTCACACAGGACGCTATTTATTACAGGTACTTATATAGGCTGTCAGTTTACTCAGCACTTCACATATATATTGTACATTGACATCAGTCCCCCCCCCGAGGAGCGTACAATCTAAGGTCCCTAACTCACATCCATACATACACATACTAGGGACAATGTAGACAGGAGCCATATACAAAAAAAACGACTTCCTGCGCTCAGAAACCTAACTAAACTAATAAAGGCTGCTAACACCTGCACCTTATTACCTGAAAGTGAAAAAGAACAAAAATACAGAAAATAGGTGTAACGCTCTCTAAAATACTAACACTAAAAGGATCCAATTCACCTCCCAGCATGTCTTTGGAGTGTGGGAGGAAACCGGAGTAGCCGGAGGAAACCCACGCAGGCACAGGGAGAACAGGCAAGGCAAGTGGTGCCGTGGTCAGGATTTGAACCAACAACCGTAGTACTGCCAGGCGGAAAGGTTAACCATTTAGCCGCTGTGGACATAACAAAACCCCTCTCCTAGAAGCCATCCTCCTGGAAGGAGCGTTTTTGCAGACGCTTGTAAAACTATCTAATGCTTTTACAAGCGTCAAGCGCTCGGGCGTTAACACATTTCATTGGCTAGAACGAACGATCATTTATTCTGGCCACTGAAATCAATGAACGGTCAGAGCGCTAAACATGCCAGGCGTTTAGGCTCGTTTAGCCGCGTCAAGCATTTTTTCTGCTTGGCGCACTGGCCCCGGGTTTTTTTTACCTGTTAAAAGCGACGGCTACTAAAAGCTTCTAAAAGTCTTTGTGAGAACACACAGGATAACATAGAGGGCCGTTTGGAAGAAGTAAAAATCGTCTGACACCCCTAAATGTGGCAGCATGAGGCCTTATCCCTCCACCCCCACCCACCCCTTATTAGTCCATAGATTTAGCGGCTGTTTCTTTTTTGTTTTTTTCCCCCCAGCTGAGGATCCTACCAGTTTTCACACTCCCTTGCCCCAGGGTGACAACGCTCACTGTACTTCATCTATGGAGGAGCAGCGTTGTCACCTTACAGCCCCCTCCTGATTTGGACTACAAAGAGCTCCTCCTATCCTACTCTATCCTCTATTTCCTGGAGAAGGGGGGAGGGGCATAGTGTAGAAAAGATAGCTGGGAAAGCTGATAATATTGTTGGTGATACCAGTTCAGCAAAGAGGAAGAACACTGCAGTTCTGACAGGTCTACAGGTACAGAACCTAGCCTAGAAAAAGAAAACTAATGCAGTCACCGCACTGATGAACCGATAAGCTGCAATACATTACAGTTTGGTTGTGGTTTAGATATCCTTTACCGGTTCTAAGAGCACTTCATTCCAGCCGCACTTACCTCTATTTCAGCTAGTAACGTTTTTAACCGCGACAGATCCTTGGTTACCAACCCATTCTATGGAACAGAAGAGAGAGGACGACAGTTAGAGGATCTTGTATTTATATTATCTCCCTAAACACCCGAGTCCAGTACTCTCACAGCAGCGGGGGCCACTGGCAGTCAAATCCTTTAAGCAGAGAGAGGGGGGGGGGTGAGCAGCGTTGTGTGCATCTTTGGACACACACAGGCCGTCTCAGGATTGAGCCCACATGTCTACCCCCATGACACAGGAGAGGAGCAGCAGAGAGAGGGGGGGGGGGGGGTGAGAGCAGCGTTCTGTGCATCTTTGGACACACACAGGCCGGCTCAGGATTGAGCCCACATGTCTACCCCCATGACACAGGAGAGGAGCAGCAGAGGGGGGGGGGGGGTGAGCAGCATTGTGTGCATCTTTGGATGGATACACACAGGCCGGCTCAGGATTGAGCCCACATATGTCTACCCCCATGACACAGGAGAGGAGCAGCAGAGAGGGGGGGGGGGGTGAGCAGCGTTGTGTGCATCTTTGGACACACACAGGCCGGCTCAGGATTGAGCCCACATGTCTACCCCCATGACACAGGAGAGGAGCAGCAGAGAGGGGGGGGGGGGGGGTGAGCAGCGTTTGTGTGCATCTTTGGACACACACAGGCCGGCTCAGGATTGAGCCCACATGTCTACCCCCATGACACAGGAGAGGAGCAGCAGAGGGGGGGGGGGGGGGGGGGGAGTAATTGAGCAGCGTTGTGTGCATCTTTGGATACACACAGGCCGGCTCAGGATTGAGCCCACATGTCTACCCCCCATGACACAGGAGAGAGAGGAGCAGCAGAGGGGGGGGGGGGGGGGAGAGCAGCGTTGTGTGCATCTTTGGACACACACAGGCCGGCTCAGGATTGAGCCCACATGTCTACCCCCATGACACAGGAGAGGAGCAGCAGAGGGGGGGGGGGGGTTTGAGCAGCGTTGTGTGCATCTTTGGACACACACAGGCCGGCTCAGGATTGAGCCCACATGTCTACCCCCATGACACAGGAGAGGAGCAGCAGAGAGGGGGGGGGGGGGGTGAGCAGCGTTGTGTGCATCTTTGGATACACACAGGCCGGCTCAGGATTGAGCCCACATGTCTACCCCCATGACACAGGAGAGGAGCAGCAGAGGGGGGGGGGGGAGTTGAGCAGCGTTGTGTGCATCTTTGGATACACACAGGCCGGCTCAGGATTGAGCCCACATGTCTACCCCCATGACACAGGAGAGGAGCAGCAGAGAGGGGGGGGGGGGGGGGGGTGAGCAGCGTTGTGTGCATCTTTGGACACACACAGGCTGGCTCAGGATTGAGCCCACATGTCTACCCCCATGACACAGGAGGAGGAGCAGCAGAGAGGGGGGGGGGGTGAGCAGCGTTGTGTGCATCTTTGGACACACACAGGCCGGCTCAGGATTGAGCCCACATGTCTACCCCCATGACACAGGAGAGGAGCAGCAGAGAGCGCAGGCGGGGGACCCCAGAAGAGGAGGTTCAGGGTCGCTGTGTACAATGACATCACACAGAGTAGGGGAGTAGAATATGTTTGTTACTTTAATTCAACAATAAATGCCTTTAGAAAGACTTTAAATTCGCTTCATTATGGTTCAAAAGGAAAAAAAATTGCCATCAACTCTGTTTATTGTGAATAGAAGCATGGCACAGAGATACGTCTGACTGCAATGTCACATGAAAAACAGGAACACGCCAAACACAAGAATTTGTAAGACAAAAAGAAACCACCAGGAAAGTAAAACCCCACTAGATGGGAGGAATGAAGACAAGTTAAAGAGTAACTCCACTTTCGTTGAGAAAAACCCTCCCCCTCTGGGTGATCTACGTACATTGAAGGAATTGTAACAAATATTTATTGCAGATTCCTACCTTTTGTTATTGTCTGTGTCCATGTGCAGATTGACAGGGAGTGATTTTGTAATGATTGATCAGCTGTTGCAGGTAAGTGGCAGGGTCTGCATCCCATTATATGTGATTTACCTTTGGGAGTATCTATCAAAAAAAATGGTATTTTTGTTGCAGGCGATGCCGCTGACTTGTATTTTAGTGCAGACTACTGGGAAAATCAAGGAGCCGATCACTCACTCAAGCAGGAAATGACATTTCAAGGCGGGGGGTCCTGTATACCATCTATATACAGAACGCCTCCAGGCAGCCATATTGGATTGAAATTTTCAGAAAATGTCAGCAGCGCAGATAGAAAAGGAAAAATAATTTTTTAGTAACATCTGTAAGGGAACCGACCCCAAACTGCGCTTGGGTACTTCCGTTAGAACACAGATTCCCTGTCCAAACACCAACCATAGACACCACCGCTGACCATACAAGACTAGACGACACCAGTCCTGAAGTAAACCGGGAAGTAGACTAATTTATTTTAACACAGATACAAGATATATACACTCAAGGGAACAACCCCCCTCCCTGCATAATGAAACAGGGTGGGGCAATCTACCTTTAGTAACAAGAGACACACAAACAGACAGTCCCATCAGGAGGAAGGGCTGCTGGAGACACCCCCCACCAAGCTAATACCCATAAAACACATACATCCCATAATAGTTTGCTCCCAAGCCAGAACAATGGGATGCAACCCCTTAACAACAAACAATCCACAACCCCCACCCCACCTATACAGGTCTACACATTATTAGGACAGATTACGCTGTACCCCTAACAGGCACAGGGTGACTTACACATAAGAGGGATATGGGGAGCTGAGACAGGGGTCTCCCCACCTTTCCAAAGTGGGCTGTGTTCCATGTCCCCCCCACCCAAAGTGACTCCCGTCACAACATTCAATTACAATATGGATTTTTTTCTTCATTGTTTGCTTTTTTTTTCTCTCCATGAAAGTGAACTTAACCATTTTAGCACTTTATTTGCCAAGTGTGATATAAAAATCGATGGATCTGCTCGACTATCGCACGTCACTGACAAGCCTACAGAGACAGGGTCACTGTGGCTTACCACCAATCCTGGACACTATCACATGGGACAAGCAGTGATGTCATCCACCCAGGTCAGCTTCTTCACCATCTGACACTACAGCATACCCAGGGTGAACGCCTCCTGTAGGTAAGTGGGTAATGGAGCATGGACTGGGCAGAACACCTTGCTAGGGTTGGGACACTGCTTGCCTTGAATGGGTAGGTGACAGTGTCTATGAAATAACAGATATATAATCAAAGATATCCATAAGAGCAGCAAAAAAAGGGAGAAAGTGATGGTGTAGATACAAAACAGAAAAAAAAGAAAAAAAATCGAAAACCCTTGCCTTTGAGAAATTCAACTGGGGTGCAACGCGTCATGCTGGGCAAAACTTAGCTGCCATTTTGGAAAGTCGAGTATGCCAATAGCCCGTGACATTCCTCTATGAATTATTTGCATGCGAGTGGAATTTTAACTTTCTTATGGAAATAAACGAGAGGTCTGCACCATTGGATGTTTCTTTGCTTCCTTTTAATACATCTATTCCTGGGAGATCGGTAATGACCAGGTGAACGCTGAAGAAGATCGTGGGCTGTAATAATCGACCCTCCTTTTGCAGTGGGGTCCATGATACAAGGTGAGGAGATACCCATGAGGCGCGGTGAAGGGCGCGGTGAAGGGCGTGGTGAAGGGCGCGGTGAAGGGCGCGCGGTGGTGTTCGTTCACACTGGAGAAAGTCATACTGTTATTCTGACAAGAATTAAATATATTCACTTGTGCTAAAAAGTTTGCATCCCCCGGCAGAAATTGTGAAATGTTGGCATTGATATTGAAAATATGACGGATTTGCCAAAAAATGCTCTTTTATTGAAGGATGATGATCGTATGACGCATTTATTAGCAAATAGTTGTTTGGCTCCTTTTTAAATCCCAACAACAGAAATCACCCAAATGTCCTGGATCAGACGTCTCCGCCCCCCGGATCAGACGTCTCCGCCCCCCGGATCAGACGTCTCCGCCCCCCGGATCAGACGTCTCCGCCCCCCGGATCAGACGTCTCCGCCCCCCGGATCAGACGTCTCCGCCCCCCGGATCAGACGTCTCCGCCCCCCGGATCAGACGTCTCCGCCCCCCGGATCAGACGTCTCCGCCCCCCCGGATCAGACGTCTCCGCCCCCCCGGATCAGACGTCCCGCCCCCCGGATCAGACGTCTCCGCCCCCCGGATCAGACGTCCCGCCCCCCGGATCAGACGTCTCCGCCCCCCGGATCAGACGTCTCCGCCCCCTGAAATGTTTTGGCCTTGGTACAGACACACAAGGTGACACACACGGGTTACAATGCCAATTAATGTCCCACATCTGTGGCTTTTTAGGTTGCAATTAGTGTCAGTGTGTAAACAGTCAATGAGTTTGTTAGCTATTACGTGGAAGCACTGAGCAGACTAGATACTGAGCCATGGGGATCAGAAAAGAACTGTCAAAAGTCCTGTGTAACAAGGTAATGGAACTTTATAAAGATGGAAAAGGACATACAATTATGTCCAAAGCCTTGAATATGCCAGTCAGTGCTGTTACATCACCTATTAAGAAGTGGAAAGTTTGGGGATCTTTTGATACCAAGCCAAGGTCAGGTAGACCAAGAAAGATTGCAGCCACAACTGACAGAAGAATTGTTCGGGATACAAAGGGAAACCCATAGGTAACCACAAGAAAAATCCAGGCTGTAGATTGAAGATTGCATGAACATTGGTTGGTGTATGGGACTACACTTTTTTTTTTAAGGCTTTAAGAGTTCTATTGTTTATATATTTTTGCACATTCACAAAAGGATACTTCATACTGGAGGGATCTGTTTCTGATAAAGGTTTATGGTATGAGGTTATACAAGATTTGATGTCATCTTGGAAGCAATTCACCAGTATTTGATATATGAAATAACCGACAAAGTACGAGGCCAGCGTCACCGGCCACATATTACCGTACTACAGACCAGTTGCTATGGGACGCTCCAACTGGCTGCTCTTTGCAGCACGGACAGTGATCAGTTCATCATTTTATTGGCTTACCAGAGGCTCCCCGATGAGTGTTTTGGACAACACACTGGCCACGATCTGCAGCTTTCCTTCCAGGTGCAAACAGCAAAGTACAGCGTGAACGGAGGCATCCAGCTGGGCCCGGCCGGCGCCAAGAACTGCAGAGACACACAAGACTTAGGTGGCAGCCATGCTGGATTGTACCAATATAAACACGGACACATGGACATTTCTAACTCCCTATGACCCTATTCATGATGGGGCAGATCCTGCTCAAAACCTGGCCAACTAAAACGAAGCAAATGATGGAAAACAAAAAAAAGGGGGGGGGGCATTTATTTTTTTGCATTGCAGCCTGCAAAGCATTGTAACCATGATCAGTGCATCGCAGGTGCAATTCACAGGCTCCAGCAGACTATTACTCCAGCCCAGCCCTTTGGTTATGGAGCCGGAGGAAGTCATCAATGGACGAGTGCAGTCACGTCACCCCGCTTGTGTGACATTGAGAACTAGAATTCCCTTTGCTGTGGTGGCAGATGAGACTTCCCATTCAGAGATCCTACGGATGGATCTGTGAATGGGTGACACCGCTGAAGGTACCCAGCCATGTACAGCTGCACCAAATGAAAACATATAAAGAACACTGTGAATCGAAAGCCTGCGATTCAGGCAAAAGGAGGGGCAGTGTGAGGGGTGGGAGCTGCGGAATGGCATCATGTCCCTTGTAAGGCCCCTTTCAAACGGACGGCCAATAAGGTCAACCTGTCACTTTTTTCAGGCAAACCCAAACAGACCTTCCATTGCCAGCTATGGAGCAGATGTAAACAGACACGTTTGTTCACACCCGCCTGCATCCGGTCTGCTAAAAACAGATCTGTCTAGCGGATCGGAAGACAGTAAATGGACAGGCGGTCCCCATTTACATCCAGGGGCTCCTCCTCTTCTCAGTGTGCCACCATACCTATAGGAAGATGCCTCCTATCATGGCACACCTGTGGGCTTGATCCTGAGCTGCGCTGCCTGCGTCTATTGACACAGCCTCAGTCCCACTCCCTCATCACAGGATTTGACTGAGAGCAAGGAGAAGAGACAACTGCTACAGACAGGCATAGCACTAATCAACGTAAAAATGTGGGGGGTGCTGGGTGCTCCTACCCCCCTGCTGAGTGCCCACCATAGCAAGCTGCTTGCTATGGGAGCATTCATGCGTGGTTGCTGTGTGGCTGTGCGTGTCCATAAGAGGCATAGTGTGGGTCAGCCCTTTCCCTGCTCATTGGCTATGATTAACAGTAGCAGGAGCCAATGGCTGAGCCAAAAGAGGAGGCAGAGAGCTGAGAGTTTCAGTTCCCGTGCAAATTGCTGGATCGAGATCAGGCTCAGGTAAGTATAGGGGGGCTGGCAGGGGGAAGCTGCATGCTTGGCACTGCCACCCCCTTCTCACTGGCTATGATTGACAGCAGATGAGCCAATGGCTCCTGCTGCTGCAGCTGAGCCAATGGCTCCTGCTGCTGCAGCTGAGCCAATGGCTCCTGCTGCTGCAGCTGAGCCAATGGCTCCTGCTGCTGCAGCTGAGCCAATGGCTCCTGCTGCTGCAGCTGAGCCAATGGCTCCTGCTGCTGCAGCTGAGCCAATGGCTCCTGCTGCTGCAGCTGAGCCAATGGCTCCTGCTGCTGCAGCTGAGCCAATGGCTCCTGCTGCTGCAGCTGAGCCAATGGCTCTGCTGCTGCAGCTGAGCCAATGGCTCCTGCTGCTGCAGCTGAGCCAATGGCTCCTGCTGCTGCAGCTGAGCCAATGGCTCCTGCTGCTGTAGCTGAGCCAATGGCTCCTGCTGCTGTAGCTGAGCCAATGAGGAAGCAGAGAGGCTCGAGAGAGCTTCAGTTCTCGTGCAAATTGCTGGATCGAGATGAGGCAAGTGAAGGGGGGCTGGCAGGGGGAAGCTGCATTCAAAAAGGTTTTCTTCCCTTAATGCAAAATGGAATGCATTAAGGTAAAATAAACTTTCTTCCTTTGGAATCACTTTATAAGCCAATCAGAGAGGCTCTTGCACTATATGGCTGTTGGTAAGTCTAGAAGAGATTGCACAGATTGTAGCATACATCAGCAATATAAAGGTTGTTATGGTAAAGCATGTGGACTCACCCAATTTACAGTCTTCGTCAGCCTTGTCATAGTTTTTCTGAAATGGGAAGAAAACAGGTAGAAGTCAGTAACAGATCCCTCCATAGCACCACACATACCTCTACTACACCGAGCAATGGAGTCAGCTCTGCCTGCCCGGGACACCAATCGCCTGCAGAGGAGTCAGCTCTGCCCAGGGACACCAACCGCCTGCAGACGAGTCAGCTCTGCCCAGGGACACCAACCGCCTGCAGACGAGTCAGCTCTGCCCAGGGACACCAACCGTCTGCAGACGAGTCAGCTCTGCCCAGGGACACCAACCGTCTGCAGACGAGTCAGCTCTGCCCGGGGACACCAATCGCCTGCAGACGAGACTGCTCTGCCCAGGGACACCAACCGTCCTGCAGAGGAGTCAGCTCTGCCCGGGGACACCAACCGCCTGCAGACGAGTCTGCTCTGCCCGGGGACACCAACCGCCTGCAGAGGAGTCAGCTCTGCCCAGGGACACCAATCGCCTGCAGACGAGTCAGCTCTGCCCAGGGACACCAACCGTCTGCAGACGAGTCAGCTCTGCCCAGGGACACCAATCGCCTGCAGACGGGTCTGCTCTGCCCAGGGACACCAACCGCCTGCAGACGAGACTGCTCTGCCCAGGGACACCAAACCGCCTGCAGACGAGTCTGCTCTGCCCAGGGACACCAACCGCCTGCAGACGAGTCTGCTCTGCCCAGGGACACCAACCGCCTGCAGAGGAGTCAGCTCTGCCCAGGGACACCAACCGCCTGCAGACGAGTCTGCTCTGCCCAGGGACACCAACCGCCTGCAGACGAGTCAGCTCTGCCCAGGGACACCAACCGCCTGCAGACGAGTCAGCTCTGCCCAGGGACACCAACCGCCTGCAGAGGAGTCAACTCTGCCCAGGGACACCAACCGTCTGCAGACGGAGTCACCTCTGCCCAGGGACACCAACCGCCTGCAGAGGAGTCACCTCTGCCCAGGGACACCAATCACGCTGCAGAGGAGTCACTCTGCCCAGGGACACCAACCGCCTGCAGACGAGTCAACTCTGCCCAGGGACACCAACCGCCTGCAGACGAGTCAGCTCTGCCCAGGGACACCAATCGCCTGCAGACGAGTCTGCTCTGCCCAGGGACACCAATCGCCTGCAGACGGGTCTGCTCTGCCCAGGGACACCAATCACCTGCAGACGGGTCTGCTCTGCCAGGGACACCAATCACCTGCAGACGGGTCTGCTCTGCCCAGGGACACCAATCGCCTGCAGACGGGTCTGCTCTGCCCAGGGACACCAATCACCTGCAGACGGGTCTGCTCTGCCAGGGACACCAATCACCTGCAGACGGGTCTGCTGCTCTGCCAGGGACACCACCAATCACCTGCAGATGTCACCTACGCAGAGATATGGCAATACTGTGGCTGAGATATTTCATTTTGCTGCAGATTTTACAATGAATCTGCAGGTCTGTATCACCCAGCAGTGTGCAGTACCTGTGACGTCATTCCCTCTCCAGCTCTGTTTGAAAAGTGCAGGGTGTCTGCAGGAAGTTCCTGTTTGCAGATCATGTCATGTCATTTCCTGACACTACACATCCCATGATGCTTTGCTTCAGGGCAGGTCTACGGATGGCACTTTGCTCACTGCACATCTATTACCAGCAGAGCCTGGGGGGGGGGGGGGGTGACTGGGTGGGATTCTATGCTAATCGCCACCCATCCCAGGTCACCTTTGTAGTCTCATGGAGGGCAGAGGGGAGTCTAAACATCACGGCTCAGGGACAGGAGGTGGCTGTGGGAGGCTCATTGTTGCACAGCTGGTAGTAATGGATGCAGATGAGGCAGGAAGTAGAATGAACATTGCAATGACTCCGCTCTAATGAGCTATAACAAAGGAAACTACTTTATAGAAGGATGGTGCCGGTCTGGGGGGGTTATATGCAGCCCCCTTCCCCCGTCCCCCCACGAGAGCCTTGGATGTGCCGATTCTCTGCTGAGGCTGCTGTGAGCTATACTGTGCACACAGGACAACAACAAGCACGTCAGAGGAGCCCAGTATATAGAACAACAAATACCAGCAACTAGTCTGCAGAACTGACAGCAAATCAGAAATGAAAAAAAAAAAAACATTTTCAGGTATTTGACAACAAAAATAATAACAGTTATAAATACACGACAAACAATTTCAACAACTAAATCCAATCACCGGCTTCCAAGCATTTATAAAAAGTAAAACACAGAAATCCCAGGTTCTTTTTTTTTTTTTTAATATATAATTTTTCGCATGCATGTAAGAATGTCAGTTGTAGGCAAAAAAAATGACTTCAACCCCCAGAAATGACATATTGTAAGAAGCAGAGGCCCTGTAGAATGAAAGGGCCGGGGGGGGGGGGGGGGGGGGGGAGAGCCGATGTAGCGAGCGCGGGGTCCGGGGGGGAGAGCCGATGTAGCGAGCGCGGGGTCCGGGGGGGAGAGCCGATGTAGCGAGCGCGGGGTCCGGGGGGGAGAGCCGATGTAGCGAGCGCGGGGTCCGGGGGGGAGAGCCGATGTAGCGAGCGCGGGGTCCGGGGGGGAGAGCCGATGTAGCGAGCGCGGGGTCCGGGGGGGAGAGCCGATGTAGCGAGCGCGGGGGTGGGGAGAGCGGGGGGGAGAGCCGATGTAGCGAGCGCGGGGTCCGGGGGGGAGAGCGGATGTAGCGAACGCGGGGTCCGGGGAGAGCGGATGTAGCGAACGCGGGGTCCGGGGAGAGCGGATGTAGCGAACGCGGGGTCCGGGGAGAGTACGGATGTACGGGGTGTATTGGATGTACGGGGTGTGTATAGGATGTACGGGGTGTATAGGATGTACGGGGTGTATAGGATGTACGGGGTGTATAGGATGTACGGGGTGTATTGGATGTACGGGGTGTATTGGATGTACGGGGTGTATAGGATGTACGGGGTGTATAGGATGTACGGGGTGTATAGGATGTACGGGGTGTATTGGATGTACGGGGTGTATTGGATGTACGGGGTGTGTATAGGATGTACGGGGTGTATAGGATGTACGGGGTGTATAGGATGTACGGGGTGTATTGGATGTACGGGGTGTATTGGATGTACGGGGTGTATTGGATGTACGGGGTGTATTGGATGTACGGGGTGTATTGGATGTACGGGGTGTATTGGATGTACGGGGTGTATAGGATGTACGGGGTGTATAGGATGTACGGGGTGTATAGGATGTACGGGGTGTATTGGATGTACGGGGTGTATTGGATGTACGGGGTGTATTGGATGTACGGGGTGTATTGGATGTACGGGGTGTATTGGATGTACGGGGTGTATTGGATGTACGGGGTGTATTGGATGTACGGGGTGTATTGGATGTACGGGGTGTATTGGGATGTACGGGGTGTATTGGATGTACGGGGTGTATTGGATGTACGGGGTGTATTGGATGTACGGGGTGTATTGGATGTACGGGGTGTATTGGATGTACGGGGTGTATAGGATGTACGGGGTGTATAGGATGTACGGGGTGTATAGGATGTACGGGGTGTATAGGATGTACGGGGTGTATAGGATGTACGGGGTGTATTGGATGTACGGGGTGTATAGATGTACGGGGTGTATAGGATGTACGGGGTGTATTGGATGTACGGGGTGTATTGGATGTACGGGGTGTATTGGATGTACGGGGTGTATTGGATGTACGGGGTGTATTGGATGTACGGGGTGTATTGGATGTACGGGGTGTATTGGATGTACGGGGTGTATTGGATGTACGGGGTGTATTGGATGTACGGGGTGTATAGGATGTACGGGGTGTATTGGATGTACGGGGTGTATTGGATGTACGGGGTGTATTGGATGTACGGGGTGTATAGGATGTACGGGGTGTATTGGATGTACGGGGTGTATTGGATGTACGGGGTGTATTGGATGTACGGGGTGTATTGGATGTACGGGGTGTATTGGATGTACGGGGTGTATTGGATGTACGGGGTGTATAGGGTACGGGGTGTATTGGATGTACGGGGTGTATTGGATGTACGGGATGTACGGGATGTACTGGATGTACGGGATGTACGGGATGTATTGGATGTACGGGGTGTATTGGATGTACGGGGTGTATTGGATGTACGGGGTGTATTGGATGTACGGGGTGTATTGGATGTACGGGGTGTATTGGATGTACGGGGTGTATTGGATGTACGGGGTGTATTGGATGTACGGGGTGTATTGGATGTACTGGGTGTATAGGATGTACGGGGTGTATAGGATGTACAGACCAGCAGATATACTGACAGGAAGAATCAATGAACTACCACAGCACTTACAGCAGCATGGGAGTTCACTGAGAACTACAAGCTGACGACGGCTAAGGCAGCAGGGACTTGTAGTTCATTCATTTACAGAACACTGTGAATGAATGATGAGGCCGTGTGGGCGGAGCGCACTGCTGCAGCATTGGGAACATGTTACAAATTCTACCCTAAAAATGGGTGAAGCATGCTTCCAAAAGGTGAACTTTTCCTTTAAGGCTCCCCATACATGCTACAATTTCACTGTACAATCTTCTGTAGAACTACCAACATCCGTGTAATGCGAGGGCCCGATTAGATAAAAACTGACTGATGGGTCAGGTAGGTCCTCATATTGCATGGTTTTGGTCGATCAAACAGATTACACAAAGATTGTATCGTGTATGGTGAGCTCAAAGGTCATTGTAGATTGTAACATTTACAGTTGGCATTCCACCCCCCCAAGCCCCGCCCTTCCCCTCCAGGGGGCCGGCACTTACCAGCTGTAGGAAAGAGGCGATTCTGTAGAGCAGGCTCTCGATCTTGATGCGGTTGATGTGGGTGGAGTTGGCCTTGGCGGGGTGCGTGCTCTTGTAGTGGCTGAGGGACAGGAGACAGTCCGTGCAATGCTGCACCGCCGATTCATAATCGAATCTTCTAAAGGAGTCACATGCTTGTTCACAGGGATAGGCCAGTCTTCTGTCTGCCATGACTCAGCGACAGAAATCCTGCGGAGGGAACAGACATGGGGGTCAGAGGACACAGACACCGGGGTCAGAGGACACAGACACCGGGGTCAGAGGACACAGACACCGGGGTCAGAGGACACATCGACTTTTCTATACAAGTATGAAGGGGAAACGTTCATAAACATCAGAACTGGACCACAGCGCCTCTAGTGGACACTCTGCACTAAGCAACAAATGGTCCCCAGTCTGGTAACCCGCAATTACCGTCCTGTCGCACCTGAAGAGGGCCTGCGGCATGAAGAGGGCCTGCGGCATGAAGAGGGCCTGCGGCATGAAAGGGCCTGCGGCATGAAGAGGGCCTGCGGCATGAAGAGGGCCTGTCAGCCAACTAAAACTACTGAAGCCCCATTCTGGGTGAACTTCATTTTTTTCCAATCTTACACCCCCCCCCCCCCCCCCATGTTGCTAGGCAATTGTTCACTCTTACCTTGCCCTGACAGATATTCCCACCCCACGTCCCTCCTGCAAGTCCCTCGCTATTGCCAGTTCCGGAAGACCACATATCCTGTGGTGCAAATTGAACCCGAGATTGGCAATCTCCTACCGTCTCCCCTGTGATGATGTCATCCTCTTCTGGTTCCTGAGAGGACCCAGCCGCTGGACATCCAATAGGAAGTGTCCATGTCATGCAGGGGATGAGGAGAACCATCCAAAGCAGGAAGTCAACAGAAGAAATGACACACCCCTCACACGCTCCCAGGCCGGGTTCAGGGACACGCACAGATGACATACTGGGAGCAGCGGTTGTGTCCATGCAGCCCCTGCGCCCCAATGAACAGCTATGGGACTGCCGGTATGGGGGGGCATTCAACACCTGTGACACCCCATGTCAATAAATACACCCCTGCATGGGGCATGGAGGAGCCCACCCCGTGTGGACAAGACCTTCGCTATGGCAAGAAGGAGCAGAGAGAACATAAGAAGAGGAAATGTATCAGAATTGTATTTTCTGTGAATACAGGAGTACCTCGGTTTACAAATTTATTTCGTTCTGCGGGACTTCTCATCCGGTGAAACATTCGTAAACCGAAACACACAGGAATGCACTGAAAACCAATAAAACCATTCCGGAGGTCAGAAAAATGTAAAAAAAAAAAAGTCTTTTATCTGTTCAAAACTCTTTATAAAGTGCACTTTAAAGACATTTAGAGTCATTATTTTCATTTGTAACCCAAAAATGACGCTAACCGAGGTACGCCTGTATGTGTACAATTTACTTTTTATGCTGCGGTCAATCAAGAAAACAGGGCTAGAGCAGCGGTGTGACAGCCCAGTACAGGCACGGGGGGAGAACAGGCCCGCTGTGCGTCAGCATGACATCCTGCATCTTATAGGAGGAAGCCGAGAACTGACCACGCCGGCCACAGATCTGCTTCTGTGCTCACAATCAAAGATAGAGAAAGGGAAGTGTCAGGATCACCGGGTATTTGGGAGGAAAGCAGTCACTAAGGAACAGGCGAGAGTCACCACACATGACACTATATAGAAGAGATTTACTAAAACTGGAGCACTCAAAATCTGGTGCCGCCGTGCATGGCAGCCAATCAGATTCTAACGTCACCTTGTTCAATGAATCCCGAAAGCGGATTGGTTTCTAGGCAGAGCTGCACCAGATTTTAGTAAATAGCCCCCTTGGTGTGTAAGCCCAGCATTGCCAGCACCTGCCACGGATATGCACCCACAAGGACTTTGCACCCACTATGGTGGCAGAGGCTGCAGTTGGGGGTGTACACACGGTGGAGGCTCAATGCTTCGCAGTCACAATGATGTCGTGTTGCTTTCAGTGGGCTTGGCGCCTGCGAAGTGCGACCCATTGATGTGAACGGGACCACTCTGCAAGCATACCGAAATTGTGCGCAATGCATGTGGTTGCAGCACGCTACTGTGGGCCTCCCCACCGCCTGTCAAATGCTCACTGAAGAGCGATCTGAGTCCAGACCACTTCCCAGAGACCGAAACAAGTGTAAACAAGCCCTAATGCAGACCATAGACGGGACGTTTATCGGCCGAAACGAAAAATCGGTCGGCCCCGTCGTCAATGCTGCCACCAATGTCCACAAAAAACGTGTTTTTTTCAGCATGACTGATAAAAATAAATGTGAAGATCCGTGAAAAACGGCCGACGGACTTGCCCCACTAACGGCAAGAATATCGGCCCATTTTTTCGTGCGGACGAAAATTTGGCAGATAAACGACCCAACTATGGTCTGCCTAAGGAGTCACATTGGAGGCGGAAGCACCACCTTTCATCAGACAATGGGGTGTATTTACTAAAGGCAAACAGTCTGCGCACTGCAAGTGCAGATGCTCCGAATCTGAGGGGCGCGCCGCGAAAGTGAGGGGCATGCTCCACTGATTTCTATCATCCAATCATGTGCGAGCAAAAAATGCTGTTTTGCTTTCTTTTCCTTGCCTGTGATTGGGTATTCTTTGCAAAGTGAAGCTTCACCTCGTTTACTAATATCTGGAGGAACGGCGGCAGTCACAAAGGAGCAGGCGAGCGAGATTTACCAGATAGAGATTTACTAAAACTGGAGCACTCAGAATCTGGTGCAGCTGTGCACAGCAGCCAATCAGCTTCGTCCGTGAAGCTTTGACAATAAAACCTGGAAGCCGATTGGTTCCTATACAGAAGTGCACCAGACGTTTACTATACCTGCAGAGTGCAATCGGTAAGAATCCCTTTCTAGGGGATCTTTTAGAATAACTGAGCCCCACTTCTCGCCAACAAGACAGGAAGTGAGGAAAACTCTCCAAATGCAACACAGACAGTAATAAAAATGCTTTGGTAAAAGGTGGTGGGAAGAGGTCAGACCCCGTCATATGGGGATTTCTGCCTTTTCTGGCACTTTTTGTTTACGTGGAACAATCAGTTTTCTTTGCTAAAAAATGTCTTCAAACCCCCAAAACATGATCAATATTTTTATAAAGCAGAGGCCCTAGAGAATAAAATCGGTGAGTTTTGGAATTTTATTTGTCGCGGTATTTGCGCTGCGGTTTTTCCACACAATTTTTTTTAGGATAAATATATCTTTTTTTTTTTTATTTTAATGCAAGAAAAAAAATACATAACCCAATTTTTGGTAAAATATAAAAGATGATGTTATGCCAACTAAATAGATACCAAACACGTCACGCTTTAAAAACTGCGCACACCCGCGCAGCGGTGACAAAAGACGTAGATTTGACTATCAATAGGCGACGCTTTAAAAGCCTTTACAGCTGACCACCTTAGATTTACACAAGAGGTTTGGTGCTGCAATCACTGACCGTGATCTGCCATTTGCGTTGATACCTCCAATCCCTGTCTGTGCGCGACCGACGCGTGCATTCGCCTTTACCAAGCACTCGCCTTTACCAAGCACAGGGGTACTTCAATTTTTTTTTTTCATTTAATTCATTATTTTTTACACTGTTGCTTTAATGTTTTTATTGTATCACATTTATTGCTGTCACAAGGAATGTAAACATCAATAGGCAAGTGACAGGTGCTCTTTATGGAGAGGTCTGAGGTTATTAAGACCCCAAATCCCTCCTCTTCCCTTAAAAGCATCTGATCGCATGAATGCGCTGAATGGCGCGGTTAGCCTCTGCGTAAATCGGAGGTGATGTGAGGTCACAGATTCTGGGTTACTAGATCACAGAGCCGAACCGAAGCCCATGAGGTCTTTGTACAGCTCTGATCAGTCGGCAGAAGCAATGGCTGGTCAATCGTGACTCTTGGTGGGACGGGAGAAGGTGGTGGCGCCCAACGCTGTCTGTAATAGCAATCAAGAGGCTAGTTAACGGCTCCGATTGCTATTACAAGAGAGCCGACCGTCGGCCCTGGGATGATGTCTGCAGCTGCAAGCATCATGCTGGTATAATGGCTCGAAGTCCCGCACGGTACATGTACATTGCTGGAGCTCAAGTGGTTAAAGTGATTGTAAAGTAACCAAATAAAATGAAAACATGTTCTGCTTACATGCTCTGTGTAATGGTATTGCACAGAGGAGCCCCCCCGTCCTCCTCTTCTCCGTTCCCCTGCCAACGCTCTCAGTTCCTCCTCCACTCCGCGTGTGACCAAAGCAAACAGCTTCCTATAGCGGCACACACGTTGGCTCAATCCCATGCCGACCTATCTGCATCTATAGACACACACAGTACGGCTCGGCCCCACACCCACCTAGCTGGATTTGATTGACAGCATCAAGAACCAATGGCTCTCGCTGCTGCCTCCATGTCCCAGTGAGGAGAGAGAGAGAGAGAGCGCCACTGCTCCCTGGCACAGTGCTGGATTGAGATCAGGCTTAGGCAAGTATAAAGTGGAGGCTGTGGGAAGGAGCTCCTCCACTACTACTTTAATGGGCAGCACAGCATCTAAATGGTTAGTACTTCCAACTTGGGTTGTTGGTTTGAATCCCAACCACGGCACCACCTGCCTGGAGTTTGCATGTTCTCTCTGTGCCTGTGTGGGTTTCCTCCAGGTACTCCGGTTCCCTTCCACACTCCAAAGACATGCTGGTAGGTTAATTGGATCCTGTCTAAATAGGCCTCAATATGTGTATGTATGGATGTGAGTTAGTGACCTTAGAATGTACGCTCCTCGGGGGCGGGGACTGTTGGGAATGTACACATATACAATGCTGCATAAATTGATGGCGCTATACAAGTACCTGTAATAATAATAAAGATAATGTGTTAAGGTAAAAAAACAAACCCTGCAGTTTTTACCACTTTAACCAATAAATCTAAATAATGAAGATAAAGTTTAATAGAGTGGCAATTGTTGATACCTACAAGACAGAAGCAGGTAAAATCCTTTTCGGAGGTGTAATTGTTGTAATTGGAGGTTCCTAATCACTGAAAGTGAAGGGCAGGCAGTCCTGTATGGGGTCCTCACCCCCTTGTTAGGACAGTCCAGCTGACAAGCCCCGAGACTATAGAACACAGCCGGCCCCCTGTGCAGGCGGATGGTTTGG